GGTGATGTGTGAGCGTTAATGAATGGCTGATGATGGGCGTGTGGGTGGGCGGGGCTATTTGTGAGTTATGGGAGGGTAGGTGGATACCCTTCCGGAAGGGAGGGAGGGTGAGTGAGTGGCAATTGCTGGACGGTTGCTTGTATCAGTTGCGGTAAACGGTAAATAAACTGTCAATATCCGCCCTTTCCGTACGTGCGGTACATGAAAGTCTTGAGCTGGCAAAGCTCGGAGACCGCATTGCTTCGATGTTGGTGACCGCGGGGCCAGCTGCCTGGGTTGGCTGTTGTGGGCCAAACCTGGCAACCTGCGCGGGCTGTTCCGTTCCTCGCCTCCATCCTTGCCTGGCTGGTCGCTTGCATGTTACGCGCACAGGCAGTATCATCGGAGGTTATGTGCCGGAGCGTATCGACCTTGTGTGGACCAACAGCAGCAAGGTTTCCTCCTGTGAGACGGTGCTCAAGGTCATGCCCGGGACGAACCTCAATTACAGCGGTACGTCGCATAGGGCAGTAATCTACCGCCTTGCCAGGTAGCACAGCACCGTCAACCTGGCGCTGGCTGCCAGGCTCTTTTTGCTTACTGGCAAATCTTGGCAGTCTTTGTTGCCTCGCATTTTGTGGTTTATCCACTTTCACGCTTGAACCTTCTCGTTTCTGTCATCTTTGCAAGGATTCCAAAGATGAAGCTTTCCCTGGCAGAGGCATGCTAATGGTGCATGTACGGGTTATGTACGGATGCTGTTCTCGCAGACCATTACGGGGTGCTGGTGACGGCGTCATGCGAAGTGTCGAGGCTTAAGCCCAGACCTACGTGAGTAGTGCAGTGCGGCGTCTGCACTAGATGTTTGGCCATGGAGTAGATGTTTATATTTTGTATTAACACGCCAGCCATGCCTTGCTAGGATGTATCGCCGTACAAACACTACTACGTGCTACTGCGCTTTTTGATGCTGCTGCTGCTACTGCTATCAGTGTTGCGTTGCATGCCACAGCTTAATGTCCATTTACTCCCTGTCTTTTTAACAATTGATTGGTGTTTTCTTGACAAAGATTCACTATTGCTCACTTCTTAACTCACATTGGTTCAACAATTTTAGCTAGTCCTTGCCCGTTCTGATGATCTGAGGCGCGAGGAGGGTATCCTTGCATTTTTACCGGTGGAACGAACGCAATGCAGCTCGCCTCGTCGCACACATCCTAATATATAAAATCCTCCCGAAAATCCTCCCTCTCTCTCTCTCTCGCGCGCGCGGGATGGTGGTCCCACGCACGTAATTACACCACCTCAAAATCACCGCATAGCTACACATACATACATACATACATACATACGCCCACCATAAGTTCACCCCGTTTCAAATGAACCGGCCAACATGTTCGAGTACATATGCTCTGGATTACTGCTGCTGTTGATGTTGATGATGACGCGCCCTTCTGCGCCCTGCTTCTGGCCCTGCTCGGACAGGGCCTTGGCGCCTGCGGTTGCAGCAGCTGCAACATCGGCAACAACAATAACAGCATCAACACTACTTACGTCAACCCTCCAAGCAGGAGCTGCCCAAGGGGAAGAAGGGAACGACGGATCCCCTGGACCCGCGCTAGGATGTTGGGCCGACCCCCAAAGCGACTCCAACGTTTGTGATCGCCGTACCACACGGGGTGCCGGGCCCGTCGCCGAATCCAAGGTTTCACCGGACTCCAGAGGAGGCGGCGGCGGCAGCTGTGATGGCGAAGCCCGGAAGGTCAATCGTCGCGCTCGTCTGCTTCAGCTGGCGCTCGAGCAGCTCCGTACAGGCCTAACGGCATGTTCGGCATGCCAGGCACGTCTGCGGCTGCGTGCACTGCTGCTTGCTGCCGTCGCGCTGGCGGCCATCGCCGTTCAGCTGTACTGCGTAGTCGCTGAGACGGACCACTGGGCGAGGCGTCTGGCCGGGGTGCTGGCGGTGGTTGTGGCGCCTGTGGCATTGGCGCTGTGCCTGTGCCAGCCGGTGTGGATGCTGATGAACAAGGCGGTATGCCGTGGGTTGGGGCAGTTGGTACGGATGGTGGAGATGTGGGAGAAAGCGGCACGGGCGGAGGGAGTTTCAGAGTAAGCGACGTTTCGGTCGGGGTTGGGAAGAATCGCTGGATTTCGGTTTCTTGTTTAAAAGCACACATCAGGTTTTGGGTTAGGCGTTAAATTACGCCGAGCTTGGTTGCCCGTTCAAGACAGAAGATAATGAATTCGTTACTTCTGCGTCCCTCAGAGGACAAGGACAGGGACTGGGGATTTGCGTGTGAAAGCTTTTGGTTTCAGTAGCCGGTCTTGGCTGGAGGAAAACGATTTGATCGATGGCGCAGCTGCAGCCGCAGGTGCAGACGTGCCTGGCATGCCGAACATGTGGTTAGGCCTCATTATATTTTAGCCATTACCGTGATTACTGCATGCACGTAACATCGGCTCATCGGGCAATAATGTCGGTCGTCTTAGTCTCCGAATGCTGATGGTGGTGCATGCGTGTGTGTGGCCGCAAGGGTAGAGGCGAAGCGGGGAGGAAGCAGTCCGGGAAAAAGGGACTGGACGGGCGAAGACGACGACTGGCAACACGGCGACGCGATCTCTCTCTCTCTCTCTCTCCCTCTCTCCCTCCCTCTCCCCCCCTCTCTCTCTCCGGTATATGTCTAGAAGAGAACAGTGTGCATGTACACGTGTGCGAATGCGGATGCTAATGTGCACGCTCGCGTTGTGTGTTTCTGTGAATCTATACATTTACACACATACATATCTACATATGTGCATATATACATACATACATACATACATACATATCTATCTAGGTGCACACACGTGTGTGTGTGTGTGTGGGCGTGCGTTTCCTCGTCACGATGTGAGCTGCGTGCATGCCCCATGTTTGATGTACGGTGATGTACGTTCGTGCTGACGTGTGCGAATTGGCGCTCGAAGCAGGTGACCAACTACTTACTACTTACATGCGGCCGTTACATGTCAAGGGCACGTTATGGCGGGCTGGTGTACGTCAGCAGCTGGTGGTCCCCTGGCTGATTGGTACCTGTGCTGCGGGAGACTTGGTAGGAAAGCACTTTGGTAGGAGGCGCCACATGGGGTGTTTAAAGGCTTAGCTCTGGACCGCTCGGGATTATGCTTGTGCTACAGCATACATATAGTTTGAGGTAGTTGTTTTTAGGTGCTTAATGGTACGGGAGAGACGAGGCAATGCCGCAATGAGGGTATTCAGTTTAGATGGCTGGACGAGGACCAGGTGACGCACCGACGGGAATTAGCTGCTTGGCTTAACAAGGATTTTACGGAGGGCGAAATTGCTAGTGGCCTTAAGGCTATGCGCAACAATAAGTCCGCGGGCCTGGAGGGAATCCCGGCTGAGTATTATAAGTACGCTATCAGGGAAACTGAAGGGCAGCAGCCCGTGTTTGTGTTGGCGCCATACTTAGCGGTGCTATACAACCGGATATACGGAGCTGGATACCCGCAAGGATTCACGATTAGCATCCTGTCCCCCGTATTCAAAAAAGGGGACGTGTCATGCTGTGACAATTACCGGGAATAGCAGTTGGGGGTCCCCTGTGCAAACTTTACGCCAATATCATAGGGAGGCGACTAACCAATTACTGTGAGGCCAACCGGCTACGTGCCGCTAGCCAGGCTGGGTGTAGGCATGGTTTTGGCACCGAGCATCACTTGTTTACATTAAGGCACTTAACTCGAAGCACACTGTGACCGGAGCCAGGCCGCTTATTATCATGCAAATTGACTTTAGTAAGGCGTTCGACTCCGTTGACCATGAGACACTTTGGGATTTCCTAATGTCGTACGGGCTACACGGGCGCATCCTCGATTTTTTGAAGGTTAGCTATGCCGACGTGAAGGTTCGGGTCAAGTTGGGGAATAGGTTGGGACCTGAATTCACGGTGGGGCATGGTGTGAGAAGCAAGGGTGCCCCCTTAGCGTAACCCTTTTTGGACTCTTCATAGAAGTATTCGCTCATTATATTGATGCTCACGATGCTAATTGCCGTGTACACCTTCCTAGCCGATGGAGCACCCTCCGCGAGCAGAGTGTTAGCCTGGTGGGCGGTGAACTCACCAACCTACTTTTCGTTGACGATGTGTCACTGGTAGAGACCGGGCACGACAGAGCAGAATGCCTTCTGGGGCTACTCGAAGCCTACTGCGAAGCGACGGGTATGGCCGCGAATGCCGCCAAGTGCGAGGTCCTCATTTTTGGGGGCATTACACGTGAGCGGAAGCGGCTTATGGAAGCTGAGTACCGGTTAGGTGGGGCGGGGTTACGGGTGATGACCGGCAACGAGACGGCACGGTACCTCGCGTTGCACTATGGCCCAGGAACGCAGTTTTCAGCATGCACCAAGCAATTACTCGCAGCAAGGAGGGAAAGGCCACGTTTGGGCTCAGCACCCATATAAAAACGTACATGGATAGATGGATATCGGTACCTAGGTCTTCCTGCTGTTTTCCTATCCAAGTATCCATTCGGTTGGCGGTGCGACCAGGCAACCTGCTGATGAGATTCCCCGAAAAGGGCGGTTAGGAAAGTTTGATGCGTGTTGAGTTTAGCAGGTGCCGACGGCAGGCGATTGATCGCGGCGTTCATACTGCCTTAGGTTTCCATTATTAAGAATGCTTTAAAGCCTAGGTGCTTTCCAAAATAGATCCGAAACCAACATCACCTCGCCGGTGAGGACTTGCCCGGCGCGTCTTCCCGCTGGTTGGTGTGGTTATGGCAATCAGGCTCTGGTAATTTGCGGTTGATTTCGCGTTGTTTGGTTGGTGCCTGACCACATGCATGCGCACACACCCTCAGTAGGTGGGAGGCGTGGGGCGCTGGGTAGCTGGGTCGCTCCTGGGTCGCCGCCAAGGCGGGGGAGCGCTCCTCCCCTCACCCGGCTAGGAAATCAGATCAGCTCAGGTCAGATTCATCAACGCCGCAGAACTATCAAAATAAGGGAACTGAAATCCGGTCCATGCCAAAATTCCGTCATACCCAAGAAAATCCGTGGGCAGATTCGAAACCGCCGAAATCTAAATTCGATTATTCTGGTCTGAGATTGAAATTTGAACTCCCCAATCCGAAATTATTCAAATTTCTACCGGGTGCAAAACCACATCATCCCGCACACGCTCGCCAACCATCAACGGCACTCCCTTGGCAACCCGGTCGCGTCGTGAGGCCCGGACGGCGCCGCGGACGAACCCCCCCTCCGGTCAAATTCCGCCCGCTACTGAACCACCAGGTCGCGCCACTCATCATTCTCCCTCGCTATCCTTCTCTATCACATGCAGCCAGAGCCACAGTCCAGGAATGAGTCTGTGCGTATGTACGTCCGTGCACGCATCTGCAATGTAATGTAATGTTACAGAGTGGGAGGCTTCTGGGCCGCTTTATCACATTGTCAGTTCTACGATCTATATCACCTTATAGCACCATCCACCATCCACCACCCAGATCTTCTTTCCCCTCTCCTTCCCTCCCGCGCTCTTGGGTCTCATCCTTGCTTGCTACCGCCGTCCGGGGCCATCCCCTCTCACCCCTTTCCCGTTCAACCCCCTTCGTCTCCGCCCTCCCCCATCAATCTATTCATCTATCTATTTATCTATCTACTAACCTAACAAGGCCGCTCCAGGTTCCGAACCACCGCCTCCGTGAAGCCCAGCAGGGTACCCGAGCCGCCAACATCCGGGGTCAGAGAGGCCTTATCACCGCTCGCGTACACCTAGAGGGGTGGGGTGGAGTGGGGTGGGGTGGGGGGATGTGAGGAAGGAGAAGTTAGGGTATAAGGGAGGGGGATGAGAAGTTAGGGGTGCGAGAAATGCAGGGGAGATTTCAAGGACCTCGGGGGAAGCTAAGCAACGAAATCATCACACAGATCCGAACAGGTAGCTTCCTGGGCAGGTGGTGGGTCCAGCCCTGTCCAAACCCCAGGCCTGTCATAAAAAGGGTCGTCGCAGCTATCTGCCAACGAAATAGGATGGAGGCCCAGATCGCGGTTACTTTTACAAGTACGGACGTACATACGTACTTACGTACCTTGAGTACCGCGGCTTCTAGTCTGTCCGCGAATCCCGCCAGTTTGAGATGTCGAAGCATCATGGCGGTGCTGAGCAGGGTGGCGGTCGGGTTGGCCACGCCGTGGCCCCCCAGGTCC